ATCGGACTTCTACCGTGAGAGTTCCATGGACATCAAGGGTGGGGACCCTGGTCTCCAGGATGCTCTGGTGCAGGGTCAGTGCTTGATCAAAGTCACAGAGAACTTTTCTAAACATAACTTTTAAAGGCAACACCTTAGACCCTACTCTCAGCCCTGTTTCGTTTTTTAACATCAATTTCACCCAGGAGAGCAGGACACATCTGGTGCTTTCACAAGTTAGAGGCAGGCGGAAGGAAGGACGAGCCCCGCCCACCTGAGGGCTCAGCGCGGGGAGCAGCCCTGGGACCATCCCGGCGGCTCGGCCCCCGCGCCCGCGCCAGCACAGTCTGGGATGTCGCTGCCCTCGCCCACGACACGGCCCTGACCGCACTCCTCAGTTCTGCAGGCGGCGGCGACCACGCGAGTGGAGGTCCCACAGGTTCTGAGGCTTAAGTGCCTCGGCCCAGCGCGCTCCCGCCAGGTCCCCCCCCATGCCAGGAGGGCAGCACTCCCTTCCCGGGGTGGGAGCTGAGACTAGAGGCGGGCAGGCCTGGGCTAGCGTAACTGAACGACCCGTGACTGGCCCGCTGTGGGGAAGCTTCTCTAAGGCTCATTTCTCAGCTTCACAATGAGGATCATACTACCGCCACCTCACAGGGTTATGAAGGATCACACAGCTGACGTAGAGCATTCCGCCCAGCACCTGGCGCCTGGTAGGCACCTCCACACATTAGATACAGATCAGACTGGATCAGGCCCCCAGCACTGAAAGGACCTTGAAGGCAGGAGCATGCTGTACCCTCCTGTGTTCCCACCACACACCTAGCAAACTTAGGAAACACACATGAAGGGGCTTAAAAAGTTTTTAACTGGATAATGTTATAAAAGACACAAAATACTGAAATTAAAGTCAGATTTAAATATATTAAATATTGAAAGTACCTCATTAAAGTGGTAAGGCATTTTTAAAGAAAGCAGAAAGCTTAAGCGTGCGTTAACGAGCCTCGGTTTTCTAGACACTTCCTAGGGGTTTGTCATTGCCGTTCCTGCATTTCAATTTAGAGAGCACCCCTCCCTCCTTATGGTCCTTTACCCGCTTGGTGCGCACACCTGTGTGTGTTCCGTACTTACACCACACAGCGCGTACACACAGGCTCACATGCACACGAGCGTGCGTGCCCACACAGGCAGGTACATACATATACACACATACATGGACACAGAGTCGGACATCAAGAACAGCCCCCAACCCAGGACAACCAGTAAGACAATCAGAACAGAGGCCATGACAAGATACGAAATCCAGAGCGCTTGCTTCTCAGACGACAAAACCAAACCAAACCAAACCGGTTGGCCAGAGGCAGTGACACGCTTGGCAGCACACAGCCTTCAATGACATGAGTGACATGCCAGCACACCTTCACGGTCTGAGCTCTAAGGAGAGTGACTCTGACGTCGGGGAGAGGGGTTAACAATTTCTGGCCGTCAGGTCTTTGGGGGTTCTCTTTTTAAAAGGAAGGTCAAGGCTGTGTACTTAAGCTGAAAGCAAGCAGAGGGTTCCTTCCAATACACGTGAGTAAGTAACCGAGACCCTGCTTAAGTCTAGCTCGTTTTCAGTGCACAAGTCTGAGCAAGAGCTGGCTTTGAAAAGAAGGAGCGGGAAAGCAGCAGTCACCAGGAATTTGGGGGTAAGGGAACAGTTTCATACGAAATACACTTTTCCTTATATTTCACATTTTTGTAATTTGTAATTGGCTCAGCGTTTTTATGGATAGGCTTTTTCCAGGGCTCTTACCCACAGCTGCTGGAGATTTGCGTTTTTTGAGGGAACAGCACGTTTACTTTATTACAATAGGAAAGTGACTTTATGGTAAGACTGCAGCTGCGGGTCGGCCCCTTAATTACAAGGAGACACTTCTTACCCAATATTTTCCAGCAGGAATAATTTACAGTGACTTGTTAACTTATTTAGTTGGGTCGCTCTGCTAAAAGAAATTTTTTTATTATAAAGGATGACATTTAAGTTGCTCATTATCGGCTCCTTATTGCAATCAGACAGCAATGAACATTCCTTCTATGGTGTATCACTGATGATTTTATTAGGGCAAAAAGCGAGAAGCTTGATCTTGTCCAAATGCCCCTCGGGCTGGTTGATAACAATGTACATTTCCCATGGCAGCCAGTGCAAACGCCCACATTACCAGTCTCCCATCAAAGGACTTCTAAACACTTTAAAATCTTTAGTGATTTGACACGTGAAAAATTGCCTATCAATTTCATTTTAACTGTTAGTAAAGTTGATTTTTTCACGTGACTCATTTGCATTTATGTCTTCTGTAAATTGTTGGTTAAAAGATTTCACTTCCTTTTTGATTGGGGTCTTCATAAATACGAACATATATCTGTCCTTTAAGGTCAAAGCCCTTGCTTGGCCCTATCTCTTGCAAAGACTTTTCAAGATTTTTCAGTTTTCCTTTTCGAAGAGATTTTAAAGGTTTATGTGCTTGAGTCTG